CCCTAAAATAAAAAATGATGGGAGAGGTTGCTGGACCTCTCTCAAGTATCAAGGCAGCAACATTTGAGTGTATGAGTGACAGGAAGCCATCAGCAGTCTTCATTAGGTACTGCTTGTGGGCCTCCCAACTGTGCTTAAGCCACTCCTTCTTCGATATGGCAGAGACGATTAATACAATTATTCTTAACGCTTTGTTGTTTCAACTTGGTTGACATTGTTTGTCTCAGGATCTCAAATAACCCAGGCTGATCTGGAACTTTCTATATCGCCAAGTTTGGCTTGATTTCCTCATTGTCCTGCCTCTCCCCCACAAGTGCCATAAATACAGTACTTTTTAATAAGATATGCTTCAAGGTAGTGGTTGCCAAGAAAAGTCAAAAAGAGCAAGGGCTGAAAACCATCTTTGCCAGACTCTTCTCAGGCCCTCCCCTCTGGGCTGGGTCTCCCCATACTCTGCCTGGGTCAACAGCAGCCATTCCATTGTTATTTCCAATTCAACCTCTTAAGAAGCCTTCTCCAGAAAATTGGACTTCTAATAAATTGAATGTTTGCTAGGAATAAACAATTTGTCATATTAATTCCCAGAACTTGTATCACTATACTAGTAATGACTCTAAAAATATTTGAACCAAATCTTCCTGGATGTGATAAATTGCTATACTTGCTATACAAGTCTTTTTTCAACAAAATTGAATATTGGTTTTAAGGACACTTTATCCCTTTCCATGTTAAGAGTATCTCTCTCTCTCTCTCTCTCTCTCTCTCTCTTTCTCACACACACACACACACATGTGCATGCAGACACATGCACATACACCCCAAGCTAATCTATGTCTTGGTTGTAGGCTGAGAACTGGCAGGTGGTTCAGCTTCTGTTGTGGGTGACTTGACGGCAGCAGGACACTTGCATCTTGGAGAATTGTCCTTCTGGCCATGACACCAGAAGCATGACCTTCCAACACTACATGTCCAGGAGTGAACAGAGCTGTGCTCCTTACCACCCACAAAATGCCTACCTATTCTCTTGCCTGAGATGGCAACAAACTATGATTAAATAAATAATTCTTTGAGTGTTAATCAGATACTTGATTCATTGTAACTGTGTTCTATGTAGAACTTCATTGAAAGTTCCAACAACTCTAGGGTAGGCACTCACTGTCCCTCTGCTATAGATGGAGAAACTGAGTCACAAGACATCACATCTTACAGCTGGGATTGCCAGCTGATGGCATAGGAACTGGTCAATCTGTTGATCCCTGAAGTTCATTTCCACCCATAGTTCCCTATACATATTTTTAAAGGACCTACTGTGTTACCCAACACATCCTGCTGTGGGGCCAATGAGAAATAGAGTATAAAGATGAAAAGGTTCAACAGATCTAAGAATCTAGTCTGAGCACCAGGTAAATTGGAGTTACAGGCCTAGCTTATTAACTCTGCAACCTGCAGGCAAATTACTCAATCTTCCTAAGCCTCAATTTCTTCATCTGTAAATTGGGGATAATTATAGTCTTCCATTACTGCTGATGAGAGGCAGAGGGAGGGTTCAACTGTATAATCTTTCTGTAACACCATGGAGCCACATCTTCCTGAAGATTACAATCTTTCAAAATTGTGGGAAAAGCCAACACTTTCCAGTTGCCATCGGGTTGCAGAGAGATAACCATACCCCAAACTAGAATCTCCTATACCTAAAATTCCCGGCATTCTGAAGTAATAGATTTGCCAGAACACAGGGCGTACTGGGTGTTGAAGGAAGACTGCCTCTTGCTCACGATGGGCTCTAGGGAGCTGAAGGCAAGTGTATCCTCCCATTATATTCAGTGTCACAGGGCGTGGCACTAGAGATGAGAATTAGGGGCCCAGAGACATCACTGTGTTATTTTCCCAGAAGAAAATTCTACCTTCTGCCTGCAGGAAAATGGCAGGGTACTCTCCCACAACATGGGGCAATGTCTTCATCCTCCAGGGAGGGCACACGGGTCACCCTGCTAATCAAGAGCTGGGGATCACCGAGTCTCGTTTCATTGGCCATGTGGTGCCTAGGGAGCAGGTAGAGACTCTGTCCAGAGAGCATGAAGATGAGTCACTGAGCGGAAGGTCCCTCCTGGTATCTCCCACTCAACCCCAAACCTCAATAAAATGTTGCAAACCCCTCCTGCATGCCTACCATGGAGCACCAAAAAAAGTTGTTTATAAAGTGAAAAGAAAAATTGGAAGTGAAAAACTGCCTAGCATCTAAGGAATGCAGAAGTGTGATAGTACATGTGGGAGGACCAGGACCATGGCTCATGCTTCATCCCACAGAACCTTCTAGAGAGCTTTAGGGCTGCTACAGAGGAAGTTTTAGGTCACATACAGCCTGAACTGTAAGGGGTCTAAGAGTGTTCATTCTCTGTTCTCATGTTACATTTTCTATAAAAAAAAAAATGTGATAAACACCTGGAATATTCTGTTAGCAAGGGAAACTATCTGGCAGCCACTTTTCACGAAATTGAAAGAGAGGTGCATCCATGGCTCTCCCATAAGTCATGTGCCCGTCACTCACAAATAAACTCAAGGCTGTGTCTGGACTCTCTTCAGTACTCAGCCAGGCCAGCTCTTTATGAGTAACCTAAAGGTCTGCACTTCATCCTAATACTTCAGCGTCTAGTAAACATGTCCTCTTCTTCCTAACTTACACTCTTCTAAGAGTAGGGTTTAGGGGTTTCTGAGGTTGCCCCCATAGTATCAACCCCATTTCTACTATTACTTAAAAATGACCTTTCTCCATTCTCCCCAGCGCCAGCTCTTTGCTGAGATTCATCAACCAACACAGTTGCAGCGTCACCTCATGGCCTTGGTGTTCTTGATGATTTAAAGCTGCGTGTCAGGTGTGACCCTAGAGAGTTGACAGCTAGGACTGCTCCGGACAACGCTGCCCTCGGTGGGAGAGCCTAGTGGTGAGCTCTCAGTTTCCCCTGACAGGGAGCCATCTTGAAAACAAAAGCTGCTGTATTTGCAGGTGGGCCCTGAAGTCCATGCAACAAACATCTGGAGACCTTTGTTTGCGTTCCACCCTTCTGGGACCATGGTGGACACTAGCGATGTTCTCCTTTGGCTCCACTGCCGTCGGCTGTGAGCAAAGGGGAGCTGATGGGATGATCTATATGAAGTGAGGGAGCCTCCATGCAACCCCCACCCAATTAATGTTATTCCCGAGAGAGAACTTGGTGACCCCAGAGGCAGAAACGCTAGTGTAGGGCACATTTATTGTGATGAAAGGGAAAACACCCCAGTTCTACAGATGCCTAGAAGGAAAGCATAGAACACAGGATGGGGCTTTCTGAGTCTGTTAAGGTTCCCATGACTCATTGCTACTTCCTACACACAGCCACCGTAAGAAGAGAACGGCATCCTGCAGAAGGATATTTTCGCCCTCCTCCCTGACTTAACATCAGGCCTGCACTTACTATACCTTATGTTTTTTTTTCCCAGTCAATGTCAACCAAAGCTGGCAAAGCTGTTGGAGAAGAAAAACACTTGCCCATTGCTAGTCGGGGTATAAACTGATGTAGTCTCCACCAAGTGTGGAAGTTAGTAGAGAGGTGTCCTCTAAAAACCAACACCGAAGCTTCTGCACGCTCCAATTTACCACGACTGGATAAAATCTCAAAGGAGTTTTTAGACCTTCCCCAGAGTACCTGCACATCTGTGTTTCCTGCAGAACTATTCACAATCAGTTAGAAATGGAACGTACCAGGATGTCTATCAGCACATAAATAGATAAAGAAAATATGCTCCACACGCATGGTGGAATTTTGTTAAGCTGTGAAGAAAATGACATCATGACTTTTGCAAACAGTGAATGGAACTGGAAATCGTTACGTTAACTAAGCCCGACTCCAGGGAAGAGTCTCACACACTTTATCTAGGGAGAGCCTAGGATATATGAAAGTGGGGAGAGTTAGAAAGGTGGGGGAGTAATAGAATAATGTGACATCAAAGTAGAGGGGATGTGGAAGGAGGGTGGAGAACAGGGAGGAGAACTGGGGTAATCTATAGGAATAAAGAGTATATGCAAATATTGTAAAGAAATCCATTACTTTGTATACTAATTTTAAAACTTAGTAATAAAAATTCTAATTTTCTGCTGAAGTTTAAGCATAAGATGCTACAAAAACTGATTCCTCTTGTTTTTTTCTTTAATTTTCCATCTTTAAAAATCTAAAAGCCAAAATTACTGAAAATTGCTCCTATAAGTAAATATATTCAGAGCAAATCTTAAATTTTAACACAGTTGATGGCTAAACCCCCTATTGTTCCTTTACCCCTCAAGTGAGTTCCTACATTGGACTCCCTTCCAAGTAGCACAGCACACTCTTCTGCAGGCTGGGAAGAGAGAGTACTGCAGAATGCAAACGCTTTCTTGACATGTCAGGCATGTGTGGCTGTGGATGGCCAAACTCCCTTGAGATTCAGCAGCTCCAACCTTCGATCAAAGGACAAAGCCTGGTTCACAGCTGAGGACAGAGCAAGGCTGAGAACCCGTGTGAGCGTGTTACCTGAAGCTTTTGAAGAAAGTATTGGTGTGTGTGTGTGTGACAGAGAGAGAGAGAGAGAGAGAGAGAGAGAGAGAGAGAGAGAGAGAGAG